AAAAAAGATTTTTAACTTTTTTTTTTTTTTGGGTTGGTAAAAGAAATTGGGGGGGAAAAAGGGGGGGAATTTTTTTTTTTTTTTTTTTTTTTTTTTACAGACATTATGTTACATCCCATCTGTAAAAAGGTTGTCTTGACTACCTTTACTCCTAGCATCCTTCTGTCCTTCAATTTTACCATTTTCCTCTATCCTTCCTCTTTGTTCACTGTGTTTTCCTTCTTTATCTTCTCCTGTTCTTCCTTTCAACTTTACTTTCTTTTTTAGTATTCCTTTGTTCCTTCATCCTTCTATATTTCCTTTCTACTTTTTTCTTTCCTGCATTGTCATTCATTCCTTACCTCATTTCTTCCGTCTTTCATGCGTGTTATTTAAAGACGGATCTCGTGAAGAATGTGTGCAAGCCATGTTACTTGTCATGTTTTCTTATTAGGTGCACCAGTGAATGTCCTTTAACCCATACAGTCAAAATTAGATTTAAAAAAAGAACATTTGTTCCTCTTGGTAAACAGACCTTCTGCTCTTTGTGTTGTCCTTGCACTTCTACAAAGTCCCCCACAACTTTGACCAGCAGGTCCTCAGGGTTGAAATGCTTCACATCTACTTGAACTGTAAATCCAATCTCATCACAGTGGACCTGTCAACACAAGTTGAAATAATGTATGATGTTTTTGGAAAAGGGTAATGATTATTGCGAATACACAAAAATATAATTCCATGTGAATTTGATGTATTTGACCATGCATGATGTAAACAAAAATAAATATTTCTTTGAGGGAATTTAACTGATTCAGTCTTCTGTGCTTAATGAAGAGAAATATAAGATGTGTTTAATTCAAACTAAGATTTGATTTAAAGATTGGCAGTACATTGTTTTGGTAACATTTTATGCTTGTCTGAAGTGTTACTGAACATTTGGCTCTTTTTAACTCTAGGTTAAAGAAATGACCTACCTCTGCAGAGCTGACACTCTCAGTCTCTGGAACCAGTAATGATGGCGACCAGTTATAATAGCCATGAGACCCGTTCAGCCGAGGAGGTAAAACCTTCTCCCATGGAATACCACCAGTTGTCAAAGAGGGAGGCACAATAAAATCCATACCTAAAAAGAAAAAAAAAAAAAAAAAAAAACATTAAATAGAACAATCAAAAGAGTTACATGGAGCGCAATAAATGCTCAGTGAAGAGCAGCTTACCTTCGCTTATGTATTCTCTGATCAAACAAGTGAGCAAGAAGAGAAATGCCAGTCCCTACTGTTACGTTCCCACTTATCCTGAGTAGGAGGAACGATCTGTCCGATTCCAGTTTTCCTTCTCTGACCGTGCTGAACGTGACTGTCACAGGCTCTTTTATACTGCAGTTGCATAATGACTTGTGCATTCATACTGAGCCACCTTGTCTATGTCACATTCCAGACCGTGTACCCTTGGGGGTCCAGTCCACTCACAGATGAGTATATGTTTTGGGAATGACACAGCTGCTGTTGGCTTATTGTCAATTAAAGTGTTTGTTATAGCCCTCCTTTATTGGGTCGATGACATGAACATCAACTTGTTACCACCAGTGTGTAGACATCAGAACAACTGTGGGATAAGTTGGTTGTTGGGTAGGATCCTTCTAAAAATAAGTTCAAAAGATGAGTGGGTCCTAGACACATGTAGAAGCACGCGTTCTGTACCTGACACATCATCAATCACCTGTTATATAAGAGGATGGGCAGTATTAAGTTGATCAAGGGTCTTGAAAAATACTAAATAAAACGCATCTCAAGGAACATCCTAAAAGTTGTATTTTCTTTAGAATTACTAAACAAAATGCATCTCCAGGAACATCCTAAAAGCTGCTAAGTGTGTATAGTGAAGATGTATGGTCATTTAAATGTCTTAGATAAATAAGTAAAATAAAATGCTTCCACAAGCCGGTTTCATTTGGTGGCACATCATATGTTGATCCTCACTGTTCTTCACACATGTAGCAGTTATGTGCACATGTTCTCCCTGTTAGCCATGCTAAACCTGGCACCTAAGCTTTGACTGTGACTAAAAGTGGCCCTGATTATGCTATGACTCATACAGGATGATGGCCAAGAGGGGACATTTGGAGGGATTAAGTTATTGAGTTTCATAACAGGCGCCACTGGTTGTCTGGACTCTGAGAGGCATATAGCAATAAGGAAAATAATAAAACATAGGCTCATAGATGCAGAAAGAATTGTATCATAAAGGTAGGTAAGACGCCTACCTTCTCTAAAAAGGCCGTTTTAGAGATATACCTTAATTTAGATTTTCAAAGTCACAGGTATGATGCAACTTTGTATCTCTTGCAGCATTAAAACTTGAATTGATGACTTTAGATCTAATAACTGAAAATCATCGATACATTTTTGATTCAACTTTTTGAATTTTTGATACATAATTGATTCAACTTTGAATCAATTATGATTCAAAGTTGACATTTTGACACTGCATCTCACGAATGACTGACAGTAAAAATCAAAATGACATTGAAACTCATTCTCAAAGTCAAATTTACTATTTTTTCCCCTCATAGTTATGACTTTGGAGTAACTATGTCCCACAATCCCTTTTTCATTCATGTAAAGTTGTGGCTTTTGTAGAAGAGAGTGACAAACCCACCTTAAAATTTACACACAATTTAAAAGACATTATAGATTAAGGGCATTTATTGGTCAGAAAGTAAAAATCACCTTGAATGCACAAGGTCATTTTAGCAATATTTTAGAAAAAGAAAAAAACAAAGCAGTGGAATCAAATCATTTGTCTCACCTAAACAAATCTTAATGCACATCCACTGACAACACATTGTTAGCTTGTACTAAAAAGAAAACAAAAGGCTCTAAACTAAAAACATACAGAGATTTATGAGTTCTACAGTAGCAACATTTTATAGGTAATAAATGTCACAAAGACTGAATTGTTTTTGCTTTATTAAAGAGAAAACTCTTTGGTCCAGGATGGTCGGGGGTCAAACATCTCAAGGCGTGCCCAGTGGAATTGTGAACGAAAGGTAATCTCCCACTTCCCCCCACTGTGCTCTGAAGTGTTGGTAAATTGTGATCCATGTCGTCAGTACTGTGACCCAAAACAACAAACCCAGTGCTGATCGCTTCACATCTGGAGAAGAAAATGAGAAAGTATTTTAACTTAAAACTTGTATTATATATTATTTACACAGGGCACTTTTTGACATTGAGACAGAAAAACGGAAAGAGAGCTTTTCAGATCGATTACTCTGACCACCAGTCCATGCATGATTAAAAAAACAACAACAAAAAAGTCAAGAAGCTATCATCAGTGGACTATCATCAGTAAAAAGTATGCATGCTTCTACCAGCGAGTCTGGTAGTAATTCATTTAAATAAACCAAGCCTTACAATTATTTAGGGTTATTACTTACGAAATAAAAATCTAATGATTTTCTTTGTACGCTCACGCGCTATTAGTCTATGCAAAGTCACAAGTTGAAAACCATAACATTTATCCTGATATTCGGACCAAAAGTAATGTTCATTTGAAAAAAAATAAAAATACTGAACATATTTTTGTTCCATAGAATATTGCGTTACTGCTTTTAATGGTGATATTATGATTTACTGTAACTAACAGAACACTGAGGCTGTTTGCACTGCTTAGAGGTATAGATCTGGCATCAAATGTTGAGTGTTGAACATTTTTTATTAAGCTCAAAAGTTGTTTCAATATTCTTTTAGGCTAGTTTTTGGTTTTGAGAAATAACCCATTGTAAAATTGTGCTAAAATACCTACCAATATGCTTTTACGCATTTAACTAAATTCTAGTTCATTTTACGTACTCCGCACCAAAATGTACATGAAACTTACATGTTTTAATTAGGGTCTGTTCAGTGAAGGGCGGCTTCATAAAGGCTTCCTTAAAAAACCAGACAACGTTTACAAGCCACAGGAAAGGAAGAAGAGCAAAACCACCTGAAAACACAAAGAAAACACAAGTATTTAAAGGTGTAGAAAACCAAATCATGCTATGACACCAATACATTACTCATGGACTTAATATGTAATCCACACTTCCCGTTTCCATGTTTGGGCTCCATAACGGAGACTATAGCAGTTACAGCTGCTATATATTGACAAGTAAAGCTGCTTGGATGTCTTTCAAATATTTCTTACCCAAGTAATATTTTCTACAAAGGGTGAGTTTCTCTTCGTTGGGAAGTCGTTCCAGGTTCATGGTAAACGCACAGTTGCCCTGCTGAAGGAAGAAACAAAGTTCCAGGGAAATGTTTAGAGTTAGCTCCACTTTGGTATATTTAACAGAAATAAAACGTGAGAAAACGGAACATGGCGATATTAGGTACGTTTAAAAGATGACTAACCACTGAATCAGCAAACAAAAAATGCTTTATCAAAGACCTTGTTTAGAAATGTACTAAACCACTGTCAGGTGACTTGAAATAGCCTCAGGCAACGTTAGCATTTTGCTAACAGTTACGCCACCCTCGAAAAAATGGCCGCAATCTAGTTTTGGCAACGTCTTTTAAATCATGTTAGACATACATAAACAATATTTTCACAATAACGTCATGGCATACTTACAGTCGTCAAGGATAACTCTTGAAAATGAGAACCGAGTAAATAAACACTTCCTTAACCCCCTCTTCTTCGTCGTTTTCCTTATCACCTTTCTTCTGTTTCGAGTAGTCACAAGTCAGTATTAGAATTAATACTACCACCTAGTGTACAGACGAAAGAGCCACATATACAATGGTTTGTTCCCAAATTTATAAATATAATGAGAAAATGTCAAATACCCCTGAGGGGAGAAAAACATAAACTTTTGTAGACTAGGTTCTTTAAATTAAATGTAAAGAAAAAAACATATGTTATCTTTCAAAAATGCTTTACATTGAATATACCATTTCATACAATCTCCACATAATTTTCATTTTATGGCATTTATTTTCCAACCTGGTATGTCACATATTTCCCCCGAATACTAGATACTGAGGGTCTGAGACTCATGAGTATTCTTGGAAGGAGGACAAAAGTTTACACCAATAAAAGATGGCATTTACCAGACATTTCATTTATGAATTACTCTTTCATTTAACTTATATAATGTCTTCCTTTTATATAGCTTACACACAATTTAACAATTTCTTGTCTTAGAATCAAATGCAGTTTTTTTCATTGAACAATACAAGAGCTTAACTTTTGTGATAGTAATCAAAAAGTGAAGTAAATCAAACATAAAAAGTAAACAGTGAGGAAAATGTCAATATTTTTGTTACAACTGTCGGTTCAGGTTTTCCCATAAGTATTTATGAGGCCAAAAGAGTATCACTCTGTGTATAGAAAATCCATACAAAATATTAGTTTTGCATTATAAATGTAATAAAATAAATAAATGTACTTTTTATGGTATCCTAATTTACAGAAATCCACCTCTTCAATATTCCTGTATTTTTGTGGTACGAAACATGCAGTATACGGCCATCTACTGTACTGCGATGGTAGGACAACAATGAAGCTATGTTGTTATGTTTTAATCTTACAGAACACACTTTGTGTTAAAAACAGCTTTATTGGGTATTTTCTCATTACTGTATCATTATTTCATCATTTTAGTTTTATTTTACTAATTTCGCAAGCTTTTAAAATCGTTTATCACCACTGAAAAAGTAGGTTACATCTGAACCATAAAAAAATTAAATGTTTAATGCTTCAGTATTTGATTTTAATGTATCGGTATTTTTAATTTCCATTGGAGCTAACAAAGTTGTTCAATTTAGATGGATATTGTAAATGCCATCGATGCTCTAAGTGAAAAAAAAAGAAAAAAGAAAAACTCAGTTTCCCTTGTACCATTGCGGCTCCCCCCTCCCATCTCGCGCCTTCCCTCTTGTCTCCCCCTCGAACTGCTAGCCGTCGGTGTGTGTTGTTGTTGAAGCAATGATGGCGGCGGCAGCGGGATGCGGATCAGCAACCGCGGCTGCCGTAGGAGGCCAAGGTGGAACTGCTACGGCCAGAGGTCGTTTCCCCGGTCGGCCTTGGTCTTCGCGCAGTCGTTTGCGCTCTGAGAAGCGATGGCAACTCGGGCGATCAAGCTCAGAAGCTGATGATGTGACTAACGGAGGGCCAAGGCCCGCAAACCTGGCTCTTTCGTTAAACGAAGACCAGTCGCACTTGCGTCTACTCGGGATAGAGGCAAGCCACAAGATCCTCGGCCAGGCTGGATATAGCTCTAGTGGAAGTGAAGAGGTAAGGTGCCGTACTCATTAAGGAAGTGGGTTATATATTCAAAATTGACGCATTTAGTGTGATCGGTCTATGCGCAAGAATGAGTGCTTTCCACCGCTGTATGACTGGTTAGTGCCATGGAGAAATGTCAACATCCCAATGGCAGGCTAGGGTTAACTTTAGCTTCAAGCTAAACGGTATCACTAGTGTTAGCCTAGTTGAGCTTTCCATTTGAACACTCCAAACATAAAATGTCACTTTAACTCTGACAGCAGATCTTTTTAAAGTCACATTAGCATGGGGCTCTGAGTTGATCTCCAAGAATAAAAAATAAAGGTAAAAGATTGATAACCTTAATATTTTTTAAATGCAGAGTGGGCACTTGTAAACATGCGCCGCAGTTATCCTACGTATGGCCCTTTCGTTACAGGGCCATAATATCTGCTAGCCTGCTAATAGCCAACACAAAGAGCAGGAAGGCTAGCGCCTTCGTACTCTGCAGAGAGTAGCCGCTAACTATGTTTGCTGTATGCTTTTCTAAAGTCTGCTTAAATAAGATACGTCTTGTGTTTGGCAAGGTATAAAGTGCATATAAACAGTTACATAACATTTTATATTGTGGCTATAAAGCTCCTTAACTGTCACAAGGGAGTAAATCGTTTTGGGTTAGCTAGCTGTTAGCCAAGGTTAGCAAACAGGGCATGTTTAAATGAATCTACAGAAGTGTGCCAAAGTCACTGCCACACATGTTGGTCACACACATTTTAGGGCTGAAACGCAACTAACAGTGAGTGATCCTTATTTATTAGATCTTATTCAAGACCTAACTGCAGGTATAAAGAACATTGCAAATGTTTGGAGGGAGTTGTTGATTACAGACTAACGTTTCGTTGTAGATTTTATAGCATCAGTGAAGGCGTGACCATCATTAACTAAAGCATGGGTTTTACTTAACGCAGAGTTCTGAGGTTGCATTGGATTGTAAAAACGATGTAGACCTTGACTATTACATTAATTCGAATTATTTCCCTGGTGGTCACTGATTATGTGGTATTATTCATGGTACGAACTGCTTTTTAAAGTAATTTTTTTAATGTACATGTATCTTTACTTAATGCAAAGAAAAGATTATCCAGTGATAGAAAATCACAGCTGCATACAATAAAGCACTGTTCCAGCCTGACTGTCTGCCATGCTTATGTTTCACCATTCAAACTCCTAAAGCAGGGGTGTCCAAAGTCGGCCCTTGAGGGCGGGCATCCTGCACGTTTTAGTTCTCTCTCTGGTGGTAGTAACAACCTTTTCAGCTTGTCAATGTTCCTCTTAGGCCTTCTAAGGAGCCATCATTTGATGCAGGTGCGTTAAATCAGGGAGAGAACTAAAACATGCAGGATGCCGAGAACCGACTTTGGGCACCCCTGTCCTAAAGGTTATTTTTTCTCAATCATAGTTCTGTATTTTTTCTTAAAACACATTAATAAGTATGTAATACCAACCTTATTGCCTTGAAATAAAAATAAATATTTAACTGTAATAACCTTACAATAGTTATGCTGCTGCATTCACAGAGAAACAGATCCTACTTCTGTAACTGTAACGGTTATGGACATAAATGTGCGCAGCTGTGCTGAATCGAAATCTTTTTTTTATCACCTTTTTTCTCCCTTGCATCGCATGTTTCGTAGATTACATCTGCGTGTACTGTTTACAATACTAACAACGCTGTGTGCCACACATGCGAGAACATAGTTCTGCGGGTGCAAAACATCAAAAATATTTTAGTCTAACTGACTGCACGGAGAGGTTTGACTCCCTCAGAATCTGTTATAATGGGTTTATCAAGGAGACACTACTCAGACTGCTTGACCTGAACAATTTTGTGCTTATTTTTGTTGTGGATACTAGGACTGCGTAATATCAGAAAAATGTGTAATCTTTACGTTTTTAACGACTGAAAATATCCACGTTGCTTTCTATGAGTTTTAGCATCTGACCTGCTAAAGGTATATATATCAGGTGAGTTTATTAAGGGCACCAATAAATTTAAAATTTGAGTGAATTTGTAGTTTAGCTGCAAAGAAAACAAAATATAATCAAAATGTAAACATAAAAAATGTTTCAGTATTTGAATCTGGACAATTTTGGGGATTATTTGCACTTTTTTTTTTACCTCCATTTTTGATTGTCTTAGTTTGACCTAGAACTGACACACTAAGGTTCCCATCCACAAAGGAGCCCCAGAAAAAAGCAGATAAAAAGTTGAAACTGGTTTGGTGTATTGATTAAATCTACATTATATTTCACATTAATCTGCCCTCCCTTTGTGTGAATGCGCAGACAAAATGTGAGCATTCCTTAAGGAAAATAACACCAGTGGTACTGAAAATGTTGGTTTTAATGATCATAATTGTAGTTTAAAACAATTTGGTGTTTGTTTAATTGTTGCCCGTGCCTCATTGTTAAGTGTATATGTGCAATTAATCATTTTTTATTTTATTTTTTATAAAGGGTGATGACTTCAAAGGATTTGAAGCTGACAAAAGAAATGCTGCAGAATCTGTGATGTCGCAAAAAAATTCTTCCAAAGGTGAACCGTTTTGAAATTTAAAACTGTACAGAAGAAATTAAGTAGATGTGAGATCAATTGTTTTTCTACAAGAAATATCATTTTATTTATTTATTTACTTTTTTGCAGTCGATGCTGTCAGCACAAAATCTAGGAGAAAAAGTGAGAAGCCACCACAAAAAGTGCCAGCAGTTGATGAGGCTGTCCCACCTGATCCTGTGAAAGATGTGAAAGCTCTGGAGGAAATACACGACATATCTCTTGAGACAAAACCAGCGAAGGATTCGAAGAAAACTCCAAAAGGAAAAAACACTATGGACCAAGGGTCAGCCAAGAGCAGAGCTTCAGGAGCAGCACCGAGGATTACAATAAAGTTGGTGGCCAAAAAGAAAGTGAAAACTATAAAGGAGCCCCAGAAAAAGGCAGATAAAAAGTTGAAACTGAAAGATGTGCAGGACCAGCCCGATGTTAAGGACATTCAGGGTGATCAGATTTTAAGCGCTCACATCAAGTTAAAAACCGAATCTTATGACGATGAACTCAACACTGGGGACAAAGGAGTGCCGACCATACCTACGAGGAGGCGTGGGAGATCTGCCGTTAAGGTAGCAGAGCCTGTAAGTCAGACTACTGCCAAAGTTGTGGTTGATGACCAAAAATCAAAAGAGAAGGAACTGACCAAGGTTAAGGACAGCGGATCTATAGAGCAGAAACTGAA